ACTCTTTCACATACATCAAAGTATGAGAATGAGTTTTGTTTTTCAGATGTGTATGCAGGCATACATACTGTGCCTGAATACTAGCCTGGAGTAGTTGTGTGCAGACAACTACTTCAGGCTTCCTCAAGATGTCTTTACATGGATACCGCTGAAATATACTGGATCTGGAGTGATAACTGGGCAAGCGGGAATTCATATGCTGCATTATCTATTTATTTATCAATCTAGTTCTTAGAAAAATTAATGGGTTTAGTAATCACTGGTTAAAGGGGCAGATCTGTCAAGAGTACACTGACAGAGACTTTGGCTATAGTCTTCCAGAAAGTAAAGTTTCATTCATAATATATTAAGAGCCTGAGAGAAGAACAAAGCTATTAAATTACATTAGGTTCTTGCTCATTCAGTTCCAGCTTCTTATAAAATAAGCAGACAGGGAAGTCCTGGTAAGTGGAGGCCTATGTACAAAACAGCATTTTGAGGTAAGAAAGTAATGATAATTTTTATTACTCTCTGTCAGTGGAGGAAATAATGTATTGCACTCTGGATAAAAATTATAATTACTGACAGCTTCCTGTACCCAGAAAGCTATGATATCATTTAATGTATGTCCTCCTTCTGTTCTTCTTTCCAGATGACCCCCATAAGCCAGAGGAGAAAGATGAAATTTCCAAAGTCACAATCATAAGTCTTGTCCCGTTACTGGTGATTTCTGTTGCTGTGATTGTTATCTTTTATGCCTACCGCACTCATAAGAAGAGGAAGCTCAACAAGGCATGGGAGAAGAATGTTAAGCCTAGGAAACATAAGGACTGCAGTGATGTTTGTGCCATTATGTTAGATGATGACCGCTCAGACATCAGCTCTACCTGTGCCAACAACATCAACCACAACACAGAATTGCTGCCCATTGAGTTGGACGTTGTTGTTGGCAAAGGAAGGTTTGCTGAAGTATATAAAGCCAAACTGAAGCAAAACACATCAGAGCAGTATGAAACTGTGGCAGTCAAGATCTTCCCCTATGAAGAATATGCCTCCTGGAAGACCGAGAAAGACATTTTTTCGGATGTAAACCTGAAGCACGAGAACATACTCCAATTCTTGACAGCCGAGGAGCGTAAGACAGATCTTGGGAAACAGTATTGGTTGATCACTGCCTTCCATGCTAGAGGAAACTTGCAGGAATACCTCACACGGCACATTATCAGCTGGGAGGACCTCTGGAAACTGGGTGGGTCCTTGGCCCGAGGGATTGCCCATCTACATAGTGACCACACACCCTGTGGTCGCCCCAAAACACCTATCGTGCACAGAGACCTAAAGAGTTCCAACATCCTGGTGAAAAATGATTTAACCTGCTGTCTCTGTGACTTTGGGTTATCCCTGAGATTGGACCCTTCTCTGTCTGTGGATGACTTGGCTAATAGTGGGCAGGTAAGTTAAAAGTTTGAAAGGGGGGGGGCAGGGGGTGTTGTACCAGTTGGTGTGTCAGTTCCTGGGGCGAACTTAACATTGAAACAACAGTGAGAAATGTGCAACGAAGATTTTGTTATGATTAGAGAGCTGCATATGTATGTGATGCAACCATCCTCTTTATAAGCTTATACTAAGTGTGTATGAACTTGTTAGCTACTCTTTGTGGTGCTGCTACAATGCACACGCACACACATGTGATAAGGATGTGCTTCACATTGTGAGTTGTGCCACAGTTTTCATGCCTGATGGCGTTACAGTTTTGTGTGAGTAGACCCACTCCTGGTGTGCCCCAGCATAGGTGAAGTCAGTCTTCTATCCTTGAGAGGCGTAAGCGGATAACTAGAGTGATAGATAACCACTTTAAAAGGCCAAACATAAACTTATTTAAGATTATGGCACTTTCTCCAAATGCAAGCAAATGCAAGAATCTCAAATAAAAATAATTACCCTGTTGTTACTTTTTCAACTAAGTAGCATGGATAATACTCATCTACTTCAGAAGGATGTCAGGAGGATGTTTATGAATGCTTTGAGGATGAAATTCTTCATGTAAATCTCTAAATATTGGCTCTTCTAATGAAAACTCCTGTATAAATTCAGACCATTTGTTAAGTTAATTCATTATTATTTAATTGTACATATATTTATACATGTATTTTTCTATTTATATTTTTATACAGAAGTCCCATCAAAGCCTGTCCATTTACACTGACTTTTACTTCACATGGAACTAATATTTTGGTTTGGAACATTTTCAGGGGCATTTCTTCAGTCAGTAGTGCTCCACTGAGTTGCCAGGAGCTTTGCTGTTGTTTATCTAATGAGGATGTGTCTTTGAAAGTCTCCTTAGTGAGAGGCAACCGTCCTGATCTCATTTTGAGAGCGTTTATTAACCGGCACCGGGAGTAATGATAACCAAGGAAGCTGTATTTAAAATAATACAAACACCACTCACAGTTACATATCGTTTCTCTCCAGCATGCCAGACTTTTTTGGAGTTCAGGGAAGTCATACCATATTGTAAGTCATAAAACTGGTTCCATTTGGAATAAAGTGAAAACAGAGCATTCAGCAGTGTAAGGCAGGGGCTCCGAAACTCAACCCCACAGACACTTTGATTGCTTAAAGCCAACCCATATTTCAAGCTGATTTCTCTGACATTGCTCACAGACACTTCGAAGTAGGAGGGTAGCGTTGATACTGCCACTTCCACAGTCCACACCGACACTGATGACAAAGTACAGTGCTGCCCAGAGCAGGTTACTGCTTTGGAATCAGTGTCCTTGGGCACTGGTGTTGAGGCCCACTGTTTTACTTTGTTTAGCTTCGCTGAATCTGTTTGAGGGTGACCCAGCTAGTGTCGTTCTTTTCTGTGATGAAGAGTAAGATGGTGTGAAGTGGCTCCACTTCAACCTCCACCTTGTTTCTTCCGGGGACACAAGCACCACCCACACAAATTCCCCAACACGCCAACTTCAGTGCTGCAGCTTTTGCTAAAGGGATCTTGCGCCAAAATTTGCCTCATGCATATTTTCTATACTGTACCCTTTGACTCAAACCTTTCCCACCAGGAGGTCCGATCTTTGAAGGTATGTAATGGACCTGACTCAAATCTTAAATCAAGGAAACCTCCATCCTCCTATGCATAGATAAAAGAGTGTAAGCACTTTACCATTTTTTCTGGTCAGCCTTAGTAATATTCAAGGCAAGTTGTTGGGGTTACAAAGCCATCTTCTTTCACGTCTACCCAGCTACCTTCCCTATCATGCAAACGTTGCTGTTACTGACCATACAGAACTAGTGCCCTTAGTGACTGGCTGGAAACCATCTTTTTCCCCATTAGAACCTTTGCAGTCTTTTCAGTTTGGCCACCCATGATGGTTAATATTTGCAGACATGACTTAATATGAGTAAATAAATCTGGACCTTTGTCCCATTGTGTTCAAAGGACTGGTAGGTGCCTGCCAGCAGTTCCTCACCTCAGCAGCATCAGCAACCTTGTAACAGATGGTCTCTCTCATCAGATAAAGAGGAATATCTACTGCCCCTCTGACTGACACACCTCAGGGCACAAAGCATCCCTCAGCAGCTTGAAAGAAATACAAGGTCTCCAGTAAAAAAGACCCAAAAGTCACAAAAAGTATAATGTACCACAGGAAGAGAGATGGTCCCTCACTAGAAGTTTTGCAGGAGCAAGAACTGAAACCAGAGTGGTCTTTGCAAAGAGAAAGCATATCCAGACTCCAGAGGGGCAACCAAATCTGAATTGCTGGAGTTTAGATACCTAAAATGCCTTTGAGACTCAGGACTCAGGTTTCTGTGAGATACAGGAAAAGTATCTTTGACCCAAAGACCTAAGAATCTAAATGCAGATAAAAGGACACAAGCAGAGTGGAACACATGATAAATCCTAAGCAGGATGGCAATGGGATTGATTTGATATAATTTTAAGTTGGGTTTTTTGTTTGGGTTTTTTTTTGGGGGGGGGGATGTTGTTATTGTAAGTTTTCTTTGCGTTTCCAACTGTACTATTTAGTTATAGGGTTTGATCCTCCATTGTCCAGCAAAGCTGCAGAATAATTTTCACTGCTGCAAAGAGATTGTGAAATGCCACACGAGACCAGCACTTTGTGACAACGTTAAAAATCTGTATTTAGGCACAATTAACTCTTGTTAAAATCAACAGGGATTTGGGGGTGTGGAACTGTGGGCGGTAGTGTACATGTAACCCTTTTCAACCTTTGGATGGGATCTGCTTGGGGAAGAAGATGTGTGTTGGGGAACAGATGGGGGTGTAGAAACAGCCTCTGCTGCAGAGTTTCCATATGTTCGTGTTCTGTAGAGGAGGGAGATGCTGGTCACCTCAGTGGTGCTGACACATGATTGTCCCAAGTACCTGTTCAGTTGCTCACATGCTCGGCCTTAAATTCACCAAAGAGTCCACGTAATAGGGAATTTAACTTTGGGACTGGTCACACAGGTTTTTTTCTGTCCTCTGTTCATAAAGGCTTTTATCCTACAACCGTTTGGATATTTTTGACACAGAAATTCTCTGCTGTTGCAGGGTCCTGTGACAAAGCTATGGCCTTGATCTTTCCTGCTGTCTTCTTACGGTGCGTTGCACTTCTTGTGGAACATATTCCCATTTGCCCTGAGCCTGGGGTGATAAGACGTGTTCACAGAAGCTTGTAAAATGGATGTCGCAGGGCTCTCTCAGGGACTGTACATTTACTATGTGGCTGCCTGCAATTGCAGCCCCAGTTACTGAAATGATCTTTTGCAGCCCTGCTCGCCGCTGGGCTCTGGAGTGATTGCTGTAGTGCAGTCTACAAATAGCTCATTTGAATCACAGGTCCTACTGCATCACCCACTTGTGCTTGTTCATCTCTGTGATTAACCAGTCTCCAATTTGAAACTGTCTTTGCCTGATCGAAGACTTATTATGTTTGCAGTTTTTCAAAGGGGATAAATTTTTTATACCTACCCTGTGAAGAGTTTGTCATTTGAGAGCAACTGTTGAGTGATCCAAAAATTCTTCCTTAAATCCTTCCTTGTGATAAAAACAGACATTTAAACTTTGCCTTCTATAATGCAAGGTCATAATCTAGATTTCAGCAAAGCTGCTAAAATCATTGCTGAAAATTGCACAGTATGAATAAAGTTTATGAGAACAGCTTTTCAAACAAAGGGGCCAGTTTTTGGTTTCAATTCAAATGTGTGCTTCTGCATTCAGTATCTGTGTATTTGCTTTCTTCTGCCAGGCCTGCATTTACCACTTTCCTTTTAAGCCTACCATGAAAAGAAACAGCTAACACTGTAATGTGCAGCGCAAAAGAATACAATGTGCTTCTTGCTCATCCGAAAGACACTCAGTCAGCCGCAATTGCTTCAGGCCCGAAGGGCAGAGTTTATCTGTGAACAGCCAAAGAGCGAGAAAGCTCGTTAGTGTCAAAATTATTTGCTTAAAGAACTAAAAAAGAGCTGCTGCTTTTTTTGTTTTGTTTTGTTTTTGTTTTTCCTTTACCAAGGGAGGTGCAAGTAAGTTGGTAGTCAGGACAATGCCAGATTCTCCTGGCAGCAGAAAATATGACCTGTGCCAAGTATGGCCTGAATTTTTGGATACATGTCAAATGGCACCATTTCTGTGAAAGCTGAAGTTAAATCACAGCAGAATCCAAAACATGAATTACAATTGCAGCTCCTGAGCTCTCCCCGATCTCCTCTCCTGTAGGTTGGCACAGCGAGGTACATGGCCCCTGAGGTTCTGGAATCCAGGATGAACCTGGAGAACGTGGAGTCCTTTAAACAAACAGATGTATACTCCATGGCTTTGGTCCTCTGGGAAATGACATCTCGCTGTAACGGCGTTGGAGGTAAGTGCCATCAGTTTTCTTCTCTCTAAAAGTGTATTTGGACAGACATGCTCTTGTGGTTGTCTGGGGAGGGGATGATTCTTTTTAACTCTCACCAATTGTTCTAGTGTACCTGGATGCTGTAAATTAACAGGCCATTGGTAGTATGGGATGCACATGTGCATGGGCAGGCTTGAAGGGCAAGCACCTGCGAGCACGAGAAAATTGGTTCTTGATTGGTGTAAGGATAAATCTGCTGCAAGGTAGACCACTTTTAAAGATAATTAATGTCTGTTTTTTCTTAAAACATCTTGAGTAGCCATGGATTGACTCATTGGTTGACCTCAACCAAAATGATTGGAAACATAGGAATTTGAAATATTAGGACCAAGAAGTGATAACTGCCTCCCATTTACTTTCATGGAATTTTAATTATGAAGCCTAATAAGAGCCAGTTAAGTGTCACATTTACTAATTGATCATTTCAGTAAGAGCCATCATACCTTCCTGCTTTCCCAAAATCCCCAGCCACTGCTCATCATTTGTTGTGATGTTGCAAGAGATCATCCATATGAGAAATCAAGGGATGTTTGTTGTATGAAATGCAGTAACAAAATAAAAATCAGTGGAACTGACTATCAGAACAGCTCCAGGAAGAGCTGCTGTGCTTGTTCATATTCAGAGTTTGCTCACTGAAACAAAATCTCCATTTCTGCTTTGCCTAAAGCTCCCCCAGAATTCCCAGTGTGCGGCACTGGTATGCGCTAGAAATCAGAAAAGTTGCTGTTGAGATATCTGCATTACATATTGCCATATTTGAAGATTTTCACCTTACTTCAGGGACTAAAATGAGACTTAGTTACATATAAAATTCTTCAGTCTGCTGGTATTGTCTAATATTCATTGTAACAAAAACTGCTGTGCAGTCCAGGGCTCTCACAGGCAGTCTGAGGAGTGGGGCTGTAAAAGGTAACACTAATGTGGATGTTATAGTAGATATACAACTATGATTTGATTTGTTAGCCTTCTTCCAAAACCACAGAGGCTGCCTTTTAATTGGGCTTGGCATGGTTGCATATCGAAGGACTGCCACAGAGACAGGACAATCTTGCAGGCTAGAGCACTATAGTATGGGGAACACAGTGTACAGGAGGGGAACCAATGTCCCATGAGAAGATGTGCATAGCTGCTCTTTGTTTCTCTGCTAATATCTGTGGGATACCACAAGGGCGTCCATGGAGGTCTCTGAAGCCGCTCTGCACAGTGGCTGTGTGGCTGCAACACCGTGTCCCTGTGCCTCCACCTCAGTCTCCTCCTATGTCTGACCAGCATTTGATCTTGCTGGGTGGGCTGGACTGCGGGCAACAGATTTGCCCCTGCTTGCACCCTGCCAGGAAAGCTACAAAGGGAGTATGTGTGCAAACAGCTAGTGCTAGCATAAAAGCATGAAAAAAAATTATTTCCTAGTCAAACATTTCGGGGAAAAAACATTTGGTGCTTCAGGAACTGAACCTCAGTCTGGCATATTCCAAGGCAAACCTATCCACGTTTAACTGTCGTGGTCATGCCTGTTCCAAATGCATTGGCACAACCTCAGCCTTTCATTAGCACTTTGTAAATGTGGCTGAGGAGATTTAAAACCTGAGAAAAAGGATCTTTGCCCTCTCTCTTGAGCTCTCTCTGTTTCTTGCATTTAGGGACTCAACTTATTAATATAAATATGAGCTGTTCACTGTGGAGTCTTTTATCTTTGCGGATGCCTGAGTCCCTTCCTGTTCATTATTTGCTGAGTACGGCAAAATGGATATTGTGGCAAAAGCAAACCTTATTGCTGCTGTTCTCAGAAGATGACTGCCTAAAAGAGGATATAAAGGGAGTTTCATAAGGAAGGAAAATCACCAGCATGTTTAGCTAGAAGAGACTGACCCACTATAACCTTGAGAAGAAAAGCTGAAGTCATTTCAGGAAAAGGAAAGATTTCTCTGGCCCAGCATCCCCCTTGCTTTCAAGGTGGAGCTTAACCCCCACCCACATCGAGATTTTCCCTGTTCATTTCATCCCTCGGTCATCCTCATCTCCAGAAACACATTTCTTGAGTTTTGTTTCCCTATTTCAGTCATCTTTCCAGAGGCTAAAGTCCCAGCAAAAGCACAGGAGTACTTGGGCAGATCTGTAGCGGGTGGAACTTGGGCTTAGTGTCTCCATCCAGAACAGTTAAATACAACTCCTGGGATGTAGCTCCCTTAACTTGTCACTGGTACTGAGCTGCAGCAGAATGGCACAGTTTCTCTCATTTCCTTCTTAGATTTTCCCCTGGTTCGTGCAGTCTGGCTATCTTTGCAACCAGCTGGTGAAATACCCTTACAGTGATTCATGACTACAGCTCCCCCTCTGCTTTCTCTCTCCATCTGTCACCCGTGAGACTCCCTTCTTTCCTCGCAGCCTTCCCGAGGAGCTGCCTCCGCTCACGCAAACCCCTCTTTCCTTTCTAAACTGCTAGGCACTGAGAGAAATGACCTCATGTGTAAGCCAGAGTAGGCTGACCTGATTGCAGCCAGCCTTTCCAAAGGAGCCTGAAAGACATAGGCACCGTCTTTGCGGGGCAGGCTTGGCTGCCGTGTCAGCTCCCTGTCGCTAGAGAAAGCCGGTGGCGGTTTAGAGGACACGAGCGGCAGTCTAAGCCGAGGCAGCGGCATTAGCAACTTGCATTAG